TATTATTTATGGAACTGTAATTTTGCTATAGTGCACTAAAGTTGTTTTGAGTTCCTTCTACTTCTAGCCATGACTGTGCTGTTTCCACCGAGGTGCAGGACTTTACATTGTGGTGAAAAATAAGTGACTATACCCACACCCAGCGAGTCAAAATGCGACAGGTGCAAAAAAAAGTTGTTTTTTTTAGCTCTGAACTATTGATATAGCTCACATTTGACAAATCTAATAGCAATATTAAGCATAGCAGGTTTTATCTGGTCAGATGTGGACTGGTTGGGGGTAAACATGGGGTAAAATCACACATTTTTTTTCTGTTTTCTTAAATGCAATAAATGTTTTTGTAAATCTGAAACTAGATTTTACATGATTACTGGAGTCTACTTGTTGAACACGTCCAGGTTTTATACAAATAAATGTAGTTTTTAAACTAGACCTGGCCTACCGTTGATGGGATGGAGAAAATGGAGTCAAATTATTTAACTGTTTTACAAATCAAGTGTAAAACAAGACTTTATTGAAGATGTTTAACACTTCAAGACAATATGTGACACACAAAAAAAGGTGATGCTCAGTACTGCACCTTAAACTTCCTTTAAGTTTCTGGAAACTGCCAGAAAACTCTTGGAAACCCTTAACATCAGGAGTCTCTTCCAACCTTGCCACACAAAGCGTCCAACTTAGCCGTCACTCCCAAACTTATTTCCATTCCCTCAAACTGTAAAGCAGAACTGTCCCCGCATCCCACAAAAGCTGCCCTTGAGCCTTTATCCTCTCTGCGAATTATTTACAGCACTGCTTTACACATCAGGCTGACGTGAGACTCTGGCGGAGGGGACAAACATTTTAAGCGTTATTCGCACTAATAAGACACAGCCATGAATACTAACTGGGGGGGGAGATCTTATCAGGGCGGTGAAATTGACAAGTGTCCCCGCAGCTCGGTCGTACAATCGTATTTGGTGGAGAGTATGACCCACGTGTGCGCTGTTTTTTTCTTTTTTTTTTTATCGATGCATATGTGTGTAGTGAGTCTAGAAAAGGTTTTAGGCTTAGCAGAGATGGAAATAAAAGGGTTTTTGTATGCTGCTAGAGTCTTAAAGAAGATTACCATATAAATTAGAGCAGCAATTCAAGGCACGGAGCACAGAAATCCCTCCTGTCACAAATTAATCAGCTGAACGACCGACCGGACGCAGACAGACCGAGCTCGCCTCTCTCTCTCTCTCTCTCTCTCTCCCACAGACCCAGAGGAAATAACTCTCTCTCTCTCTGTTTGCCGGCCTCTCTCAGCCGCTCTCTTATCCTTCTGCGGTTGGGTTTTCATAATTGGTCTCTCCTTCTCCTGCTGTCTCTCTCCTGTCCTCTTTGCCTTTCTCCGTCTTCTCTCCTTTTTCCACTCCCGTCTCTGTATCGCCTGCCCTCTCCGGCTCTTCCTCTCTCTCTCTCTCTCTCTCTCTCTCTCTCTCTGGTGAGCATTTTGAATCAGGATCACAGTGGGAAGTCAAGCTGCCCGCCTCGCTCGCTACAGCGGATTCAGCCACAATCGCACACACAAGCGTACACAAAGGGCTCGTTGGCCAACACAGA